ATAGTCAAAAATTATTTTTAGGAAGGAGCGAGCGAGCTTGTAGAGGGAGGGAGTGCCAAAAAGCCTCCTAGACTTCATTGATATATAAAAAGCACGCTTCAAGAGGTTTCTTTTCTAAAAATCCCTTCTTTTACCGCTTTCTGATTGTTGCATATTTAAATTTATCATCATGTAGATATTTAATTTACAATCGTTTATAATAAATAGGGGTAATTTAGTAATTTTACACTGTTATTTATGAAATAATCCGTCATAGGGAACCCGAAAGGGGCGTTGTGGGGTGCTAACACCTTCCCCGCACGTAACCGACTCCCTTACCCAACTCTGGTTGTAATGGCCAAGGTTGATTTATAAAATCAATTGCCTTAAATCTTTTTCCAATGTTTTGAGTAAAACATTGGTGGCGACTCCAAGAACCCTACCTTTTGCGAAAACCACTAATCTATGGAGGGTCCCGCTTGGGATTAACATGGATTAGTGAATCATTTAATAAAATTGTTAGTTCGATGAGGTCTCAGTTTGAGAATAAGTCGTTCTAACAATCCATCACTTTTCAAACCTTTTAAAAAGAGTCCGACCATCGTCGCGAATGCCAAGGTCCGTTTCGGCGGGTGGTGACAGGCGGGTCCTCAATGTTTACTTGACCCTCTTATTGTGTGGGTTCCTGTTGCATTTGGGGCATTATGTAAGGGTACTGCTCTTGTCTGGGCATGCTGAGATGGTGTTTAGTATTTGGGGGCGGTTGGGCCAATGTTGAAGGTCCTTTGCATGTAACTACCATGTCTTAGTCTTAGTAAATAGATTTAGTATTATGTTCAACAATCAACCATGGCTCAATTTGCTCACAAGATATCAAATTTAAAAAAAAAAATAGAACATCAACAAATATGCTCAAAAACAGAGCATCAATGCACCAGCCATCCAAATCACAATTTGGAATCACAATCAAACCATCATATCAAACTAAACTTCAAATTCACCAGAATTTAATTGTTCAACAATTTAAAGCAAGTAAATTGTTCCAGAATTAAACTATTACAACCAAATTGAACATAAAATCCAAAAATAGAATTTTTAAAAACCTAATTAAACTAATCAACAAAACAGAACAGGAATCAATCTTCATCTTCAGGTATGCCAAGGTGAGTCTTGACTAGCTTCACTTCATGATCAAGATCATCAAACCTGTCAAGAATACCAGAAAACAAAGAATCATGTCTTCGAGACATTTCCATCACCGCATCAAGTTTATTTAGCATGATTTGCACAAAAACAAAGTCAAAGAAAATGTCAAAGAAAATGCTATGTAATAGGAATTAGTGTATAAATTGTTTTGAATGGTTTTATGTGTTGTGTGTGCTTTGTGCATGAGAAAAATCTATATCTAAGCTAAGTAGAGAGTGTATGATGATGAGTTAAGAAGATTAGAAAGTTATTTTGAGACTTAAAACGAAGTTTTGAAAACTAACTCAAAATAATCGATTATCGTTAAATATAATCGATTATTCCAGCAACAGGCAGAATGGGATGCCTTGCTGCAATAATCGATTATTTGCCAAATAATCGATTATCCCAGAAATAACTCTCTGGAATAATCGATTATCCAGCAAAATAATCGATTATATTGTTCTTGGATGGTTTCCAGAAAACCTGAAGAACAAAATAAT